TATTGTTGCTGAATTTGTGCGCTCCTGGAGGAGAGGCTCCAGAGCTTCCTATTCCACCATCTTGTTGGAATCACGCCTCTTCTTTTTTTTTTTATTTTAAAGACATCACTTTTATCTACCTTTCTCTCTTCCAGGAATAATCTATATTCTCAAGAGTGTCCATTATTTTCCAAGAGAAATCAAAAGGACTTTAAGGACCATCATAAATCCATATTTATTAATACTAATACTTTTGCTTATATGTATTTTCACCAGAACATGTTTTATGAACTTTATGAATCATAAGTCTTAGAAACAAGTTTTTAAAAATATTAGATGGTACCATCTGTTAAAGATATTCAACAGATGATGAACTTTTGAATATTTTTCTCCCATAGAAATTTTATTACCATGTAAAGAGGTATATATTAGCTTGTGTGTATGTTTAAATCCAACAATTCTCCCTGCCAACACATTCTAATGATAAGTCTTTCTCAGACTTTGCATCTTTCTCAGACTTGGCTATCGAAATAGCACACCATTTACTTGGTTTTCAGATCAAAAGCCTCTAAGTCAAGGATGACTCCTCTCTTTCTTGCAACTCCACACATACAACTTGCCAGCATGTTTGATCCGATCCACCCTCAAAAATGCACTTTGAATTTAACCATTTCTTACCACTTCCATGACTATTACCCTGGCCCACAGTACATCCTTCACCTGGACTACTATAGTAGCTCCTAACTCTATAGCTTTTTGATCATGAAATATTTTCTATTTCAACTCAGTATACAAACAAAAAAACACACATGCACACACACGGCTGAAACAAAAATTCAGTTCAGCACTACTTATTCTTACTATATGTAATGCACTCTATTATTTTATATCTCATTTATTTTTTAAAAATGGGTCATGAGCCAGTAAATTGATATCAGAATCTCTAAATGGTTATCTTTTGTTGAAAAACTCTTCTCTAGCTGGGTGCAGTGGCTCATATGCCTGTAATGCCAGCACTTTGGCAGGCCTAGCTGAGCAGATCACTTGAGATGAGGAGTTTGAGATCAGCCTGGCCAGCATGGCAAAACTCCTCTCTACTAAAAAAAATAAAAATTAAAAAAAAATACAAAAATTAGCTGAGCGTAGTGGCACATAGCTACTTGGGAATCTGAGGCAGGAGAATTGCTTGAACCCAGGAGGTGAAGATTAAACCCGGGAGGTAGAGGTTGCAGTGAGCCGAGATCACGCCACTGTACTCCAGCCTGGGTGATGGAGTGAGACTATGTCTTGAAAAAAAAAAAAGAAAAGAAAAACTCTTCTTGCTGATTTCACTGCTTTCGCTTTTGCCCTCTATAAATACTTCATCTAGCAGATGTTTCAAAACACAAATCACACACACACACAAAAAGAAAAACAAAAGCAAAACACAAATCACATTTCTTCTCTGCTCAAAATCCTCTAATGGCTTCTCACCACACTCAATAAGATCCTAACTCCTAAACATGAACTGCAAATGCTGTGTGTGCCCTGGCCCCTTCTGTCCCTCTGGCCCAACATCCTACCACTACCCAGCCCCTGTCCTGCCCCAGCCATGCTGGCTTCTTGCTGCTGCTCAAAAACACCAAGCTTACTACAACCTTAGGGTCTTTGCATCAGCTACTTCCTCTGCCTGGAACATGCCAGGATTGTCACATAGCTCACTCTCTTGCCACACTCAGCTCTCCATTCAATTCATCACTTTTCAGGCAGGATTTTCCTGGCTATTCTCTCTAAATTTAGGTTCTCCTGTTCCCTGTCACTCTGTCTTCTTAATCTGCTTTAATTTTCTCCATACAACACCCTGACGTTATATATCTATCTATTTGCTGTTTGCACCCTTTATTAGATGTTTGTTTCATAGAGGCAGAGATTCCTGTCTTGTTTCCTATAATTCCTTAGCACCTGCGGTTCAGGAAGGGGTGGAAGCCAGGCAAAGAGCAGACACCCGCATGGATATTGTATAAATCAAGTCTTGCTTTCCTTGCCAAGCCTTCTGAGAGCACTCCTTTCTGTCCATGCCTGTATTTGGACCATTCAATTCTTTCCATTCTTCAGCACTAGAGCCTATTTACCCCACAGCAGAATGGGAGCCTTCTCTTCCTCAGCAAACAGCCCCCAAAAATGTACCTTTAATAAACATTTCCTACCTCATGTAAACAGAATTCTCTCTCATCCCTGCAAAACACTCCATTCATTTTCTTCTCTTTTTTCTAAAGAGGCAGTGTCTTTCTCTGTCTCCTAGGCTGCTAGAGTGCAGTGGCACAATCATAGCTCACTGTAGCCTCAAACTCCTGGGCTCAAGCAATCCTCCCACCTCAGCCTTCCAAGTAGCTGAGACTGCAGGCATGCATCACCATGTCCAGCTCATTAAAAAAAATTTTTTTTTTGATACAGGGTCTTGCTATGTTGCCCAGGCTGGTCTCAAACTCCTAGCCTCAAGCAATCTTATTGCCTTGTCTTACCAAAGTACTGGGATTATAGGCATGAGCCAGGGCACCCAGCTATTTACTTATTCATAGTTAAAATCTCCAGTCAAATTATTTTGTGTGTAGCCTTTATGTGGCTTTGTCAGTTTTAAATTGTGTCCAGAAGCCAGAGGTTATAACCATCTTATGCTGGCAAGGAGTATTTTGCCCAATACTAGGTTTCCAGAATATTTTTAAAGCATCTTGTATCAGATTTAACAAGTTGACAGTGGGGGGTTAACCATCTAAAGAATACAGGCTTTGAAGTCAGACAGAACTAAGTCTGAATCCTAGCTATCACTCAATCCCAGCTGGGTGACCTTGGGCAAATCAGGGAACCTCTCTGGAGATACATATATGTCAAATTCTTAGCACTACATCTGATAGAGTAGCTTCTAGACAAATGACACCTACTGTTATTTAACTGGACTGCTTGTAGGTCTAAGTAGGATAATACAGAAGATTCACTCATTTCGAGATGACATTAGTGCAGACCTCTCTCCAAATAGTTCTTTGTTGCTAAACAGAAGAATGTTGACGCTCCCTTTCACGGAGATGGTATCTGCATAAGGAAGCTGCATGTCTGCTCAGCCCATGTCTTTTACCGCTACAGGGAAGTGTGGGCTCTCTGCTTCTTAGGGAAAGCAGAAGATCATTTTCTTGAGAGTTCCTTCTGGTATTACCTCTCTCTGGTATCTAGTTTCCTTATATTTGGGAGGAATAAAATAGTTTCTTCTGGCTATTTTCTTCAAGCTTACCTCAGTCTCTAACTACATTTTAAAATTTTGTTCAAGTGCAATATATACCCATGTTCATTTGCTCATTCGCTCAGAAAGCATTCCTCAAGTGAGTGCTAAGTATGGTCCTAGCAGTTATATAAATGGTGGTTAACAAAAGATAAAATCACTGTGCTTATGGTTTCTAGAGTATAAAAATTACAATAATTTCCCCATTATGATAAGAATCAAGGGCAAAGGAAGGAAAAGAAGGTAACTTATTTTATATTTGTTATTATCTATTCCCTATGACTCATTTAACTGACATTTAGTTGCCCAGTGCCCAATGCGATACAGCATTTACTAAGGTCAAACATAAAACCCAGTGGGGAGGAGCCAACAGACCACTTTGATTAATCACTCTCAGGCCTTAGTCAATTCAACTTTATCTCCTCATGCCTTAGTCCTCTGTAAAATCATGAGATTACTAGAGGATCTCTAAGGCTTCTTCTGATAAAAGACTATATTTCATAATTTCAAATTCTTTCTCTAGGGAAAAAATAAATCATTATACTGGTTTCCACCAATTTTTTTTTTTTTTTTTCCCTGAGATGGAGTCTTACTCTGTCGCCTAGGCTGGAGTGCAGTGGTGTGATCTAGGCTCACTGCAACTTCTGCCTCCCGGGTTCAAGCAGTTCTCCTGCCGCAGCCTCCTGAGAAGCTGGGATTACAGGCACGCACACCACACGTGGCTAATTTTTGTATTTTTAGTAGAGATGGGGTTTCACCATGTTGGCCAGGCTGATTTTGAACTCCTGACCTCAGGTGATTCACCAGCCTTGGCCTCCCAAAGTGCTGGGATTACAGGCATGAGCCACCGTGCCCGGCCAGTTTCCACAAATTTTGTAGTTCGTTATTTGCAATTTTGAACATGTAAGTCAATTTCATACTGTTTTACAATTCAGAATTGTCAAACAGAATGTCTTCTCTGAAAAAAGTATCATCTGAAATCAATGTATACAACTTTCAAAAAGTAAACAATGCAGTGGCACAATCATAAACATGTCATGTATATTAAGCATGGATTTCTTATATATAAATCATCATCACCTGGCAAGAAATTCTTTTCTGAAATAAAAATATTCCTGCCTGAATCTCTTCAAAATCTTTATTAACTTGTCAAATTCTTTATCAAGAGATTCTTTGTGGTTTCCCAAGATGTTCAGCATTAAAATACAAAGACTTAGTTTCTCTTCCATGATATGCTTGAATTCCTACAAGAAAAGTCACAGAACAAATCCCAGTATTCCAATGTTAAACGCGGACGGACAAATGACAGAGGCAATCTAAAATGCTGCGGACATTCCATCTCAATGGCATACTGGATGCCAAAATTGTACGTCAATTAATACCAATTCTCATTTGTATGTCAATGAACACCAATTCTCAATTGCCCAGAGTCTGACTATCCTATTGGTTGATTATGTCAATGTAACAAGTATGTATAAAGTGTCTATTGTGTCCCTAAAACTGAGCTTCACTTTCTTTTTCTTAAGTTAGTCCCTGACAACTTCAGCCGTCATCACAATTGCTTTAGAACAGGATGAGACAAGATAATGCAATAATATCCATCTTTATTGATTATCATATTCACATGAAATCTTTAAAAAATTAGATTGACTGTAATCCCAGCACTTTGGGACACCAAGGTGAATGGATCACCTGAGGTCAGGAATTCGAGATCAATCTGGCCAACATGGTGAAAACCCTTTTCTACTAAAAATACAAAAATTAGCCAGGTGTGGTGACACATGCCTGTAATCCCAGCTACTCGGGAGTCTCAGGCAAGAGAATCACTGGAACCCAGGAGGCAGAGGTTGCAGTGAGCCAAGATCGCACCATTGCACTCCAGGCTGGGCAACAGTGAGACTCCATCTTAAAAAAAAAAAAAAAAAAAAAAAAAAAAAAAAAAAAAAAAAAAAAAAAAAAAACTAGATTGGCAAAGGTGTTGAAATCATATTCCAGAGTTTACTTATTTTTCTTTATCTTAAGGGGTTGATAGATGCTGGAAAGTAGCTGGCAGTCAAGAAGTAGAGGTAAATAGGTGATGGACAGATGAAAGAGATATCTACCTTCTCATATGCTTCCTTTCTAATAAAGCTGGGAATGGCTACCTAAGAAGCTCCTGTTTTTCCAATGTTCTGCAAGTTTCCGAGACAATAAAACTGTCCAAGTCTCAGGAATAAGATTCTTTTATACAATAATTATTCTTTCAAAGTTAGGCAATTTTAACAGGCTAAGGAAAAATCTAAGCTTAGACTAGCCAATTCTCACAAGGATATAAATGCATTTTTCATTAAATCACCTGATTTATTATTTGTCTCTCCCTTACGTCTCACATATCTGCCCACTCACTCCCCCTTACATTCTTTCCTCACCCTCACACTCATATACACACTCATACACATACTCTATACTCATCAGACGAAGCCAGCAGAAGACCACAATAAAGTCTTAGAAAGGGTACTGTATATACTATTACCTGGCTTAACAAAGTAGGAGAAAAACCAGGAAAATCACAAAATACAGAACACTTACAGTAAGCTGTTCCTCCCACTTTTCGTTCACAGTAATTTCTGGATTAGTTACCCACTGTCGAGAGCTTTCAATGAGGGTTGCAATTTTAGAAATTTCTTCATGCTGAAAAAAGAGTTCCACATCTTCAACTAGGAATTTAGATGAAAGTCGCATGCTATTATATAATCAGAATCCATTGAGACCAAAGTTCTACTATACAGGTAACTCAGGAAAGTACCAGAGTACATTCCTTTGCATCTAATGTCTCCAGTGACTTTCTTTTATTCCAGGATGCTGCCATGTGTATATATCATCAGGTGCTCTAAACATGTTGAATATATACAGAGAGAATCATTTTCCAGAACAAAACCTATCTTTTTAAATAGAAGAAGACAACCATTTTCACTTGGGTTTACCACTCACCAAACTAAATGCTACCTACTCTCTGCTAGGCACCATGAAAGGGACTGGCAATACCAGTACGAAAACGTTCTCTGATTTCTCCAGTCATCTAGCATTTCCAGTGAGCAATCAAAACGGAGGAAGAAATACCAGCCATTAACCAGGAGAAAAGTAAAAGGAGGAAACTGTTCAATACATACCATGTCTTCAGCCCTTTGATACTAAAGATTAGCCCACAGGAAAAAATAAACTCAAAAAATCCATATCTAATGGTCAATCTGTTAGCCCTGATTGGACCAGAACTAAAAGGTCAGCTTCAGAAAGGTTTGAGAAAAACCTTCACTTTTCAGAGTGTATTAATTTGGGTCTCACCAGCACACAGATATATTTGGACTCAGCAAACAGGCTGCAGGTCAGTTATCTGCAGATATTCCCAGGCAAAGTGGAACACCACGATACAGGTATGTTATACTATACCAGCTTCTGAAGTGTGGCTATGAATTCCACTCCATTTTGCTCAGGCTCTCTTAGTAACAGCAGCATTTCTTGATCCACCATGGCATCCAGAGATGACAAGTTGATTACATTGTGCTGCCTTTCAGTTTCATTGTTCTGAAACAGTTATAGAAATGCCCACAATTGCCATCTGAATAAAGAACATTTACTATTTTTACTTAACAAAAACGATGCTCATGAGTTAAGGTAATTGTCATCGTCATTTGGTTCTAAACAGTCTTGTGGAATTCTCCTACATCCTAAAACACTGTTGACATTTTCTCTCTAGGATGGCTTCAACTGAACATTTATTCTGTCTTAAGGAAAACTCATTTATCAATAGATAACATTTACATGCGGATGATATAAACTGTTATGGCTCTAATTTTAACATAAAAATAGGTAAAGAAATACCCAGGGGGGAGAAACTGGTGGAGGAGGGCTGCTCAATCAATCCCACTAAAAACAGGTTGGCTTCTTTTGTCTCCCTTCAGTTCATAAAAGACCATATGATGCTTCACAAAGTACATTCCCTATACTTCTCTCAAAGTTTCTGTCTCCTGTCGTATTTTAAATATATGACCCAAGCCTTCTTTTTGCTGTCTGTTGAAAAGATCACAGGACTCTTATTTCAAGATTCTAGTTAGAAGACAAACTTCCTAACTCATCAGTGGGTAAACCTCAGAGCCAGAACTTTGCTGGCAGATAACCCCCGCTTTAGAAACTATAGAACTTTTTGGGCTGGCATCTTGACATCATTATTATCTCAGAGGACTGAGGATAAAAACACACTGCTGCGGCAGATTTGCCACAGTTTCATTCAGTCTGGCAGTTTGGCTTGTTTTCAAAAACACAGTGAAATGATGAGTATTGGAAACGGAATGTTAGGAAAGCACAGCCCTCAGCAGAATGTCCAGGGCTGCCGGAGACGGCTTCAGATGAAGGCAGCATATGTTGTCCCTGCATCCTTGGCAGAAGCAATTCAAACAGCATTTGCCCAAAGGCATTCTATCTCTCCTTTCAAGGTCGCATCACAGCTGTCAACAGGAGAACATTCTGACATATCCATTGTCCACAGATAGGAAGAGACCATCAAATGGTGAAAAGAAAGCAATTTGCTAAATAAAGCATTTCTGAACTTAACAAGCACAAAACTGGAAAATACAAAAGAATGAAAATATAGCAAAGGGGAGTCAGAATGTCTTTATCTCAGAGAAGGTTTTTAAACTATTTCTTCCCATGTTATAAAGTACTGGGTCTATCAACCAAATGGAAATTGTTTAAACTAATCAATTCATCTTGCCACTTTAACCAAAACACACGTAAGAAAATGTTAGTTTTTGTTTAGAATGTAAAAATCAATTAATTTGGGTGGATACAATTATAATCTAAAGCAAATACATTTGGTGTTGTGTATGGGCATCTTTATTTTCGATAAATGTATTTACTTTGAGGGTTTGAAAAATTCTAAAAAATAACTCATGGATCTCTACTACTACCTTTAGAACCCCAGGCTGGGGATTAGGACAAGGAGTCTGTCCTGTTAGGAAAATAAAGATTTCTAAGTCTCAAAGTCCCTGAATGTATACTTCCACAAACCTTCAACCTTGCTGTAGCTTTTGGCTGTAACTTGAAATCGGTCCTTTCTCCCCAAGCTAAGAAACTAAGAGGATGTACTATGAGTACATTCTCTTAATGTCACTGGTAGTTTTCAGCAAGCTGCAAACCTTCATTTAATCATAAGCTATCACATGGGGTAGTTACTTTTTAAAGCTTTCCATCTTATTATAATGACCTACCTCTGCAGACTGAGCAAGAGTGAGTTCATAATGTAAAGACTTGTCTCCTTCAGAGATGATACTATTACGCTCTCCATTAACATTCAACTGGATCCCATTTCTTGAAAAAATAAAAACAAGAGTCTAGTTAGGTATATCTCCAACATTACGTTTTAAGTCTCTAGAATATAGGGTTCATTTCCAACTATCAGTCAGCACCCATGTGAGCCAAGGATTATGTAACGTGCTTGGGAATATGGAGAGAGGTCAGAAACACTCTCTGTCTGCCAGGAGCTGCACAGACTAGTCAGTCTAGGAGGTCACAAACCAGCCACTTTTTTAAAAAGAATTGGCGCCAAAAGTTAAAAATCAGAAAATGTCACTTAAAAACCTCGATTTCTGGCTTTTCTTGCAAAATCAGAAAATGTGGCCAAACTAGGTCCATACAGTTTTGATGTCACAATTAGTTGGAGCTAAACAGAGTAGCCCCCTCACCTTTATATGAATAATGCACTTTTCATCTTTGGCATTTGCATAATGTAGGTGTGTGCATATTCCATTAACTTTACACATTTTTGTTATCTGGGTGGCTCTTGTGCATCTTGTGCTAGAATATTACTCACATTCAGAAACAAATGATTATCATACAGGATGATGTGTGTTAGGACAGGGGCAAGAACAAGGTGCCATGCTTACATTCAAAAGGGTTACTTAGGCTGGGAGCGATGGCTCACACCTCTAATCCCAGCACTTTGAGAGGCCGAGGCGGGTGGATCATGAGGTCAAGAGCTCGAGACCAGCCTGGCCAACATGGTGAAATCCTGTCTTTCCTAAAAATACAAAAATTAGCCAGGCATGGTGGCATGCACCTGTAGTCCCAGCTACTTGGGAGGCTGAGGCAGGAGGATCGCCTGAAGTCAGGAGACAGAGGTTGCAGTGAGTCAAGATTGTGCCACTGCACTCCAGTCTGGGGGACAGAGCTAGACTCCATCTCCAAAAAAAAAAAAAATAATAATAATAATAATGGTTACTTATTCCAGGGTAAGGGAAAAGCAAGGGAAAGTCAACACAATGAACTGAATGTTTGTGTACCCCCCAAAAATTCATATATTGAAATCCTAACCTCAATGTGATGGTATTTGAAGATAGAACCCTTGGAAGGTAATTAAGTTATGAGGGTGGAGCCCTCATGAATGGGATTACTGTCCTTAGAAGAAGGAGACAAAGAGTTAGCTAGCTGCCTTTCCTCCACGCTGGTATAAGGATAAGTCAGCAATCTGCAACCTCATAGGGGGCCCTCACTAGAGCTCAAGCTTGTTGGCACCCCGATTTTGGACTTCCAGCCTCCAGAACGGTACTAAATAGATGAGTAGTGTTGAAGCCACATAGTCTATGGCATTTTGTCATAGCAGTCTGAGCTAAGACAATCAGGGAGGCGTGGTTGGAGGGGGGGGTCATAGCAAACTCACAAAGGAGTTCTCACAGAGAAAAATAGGGAAAATATCACATACAAAGGTATAGAGGAAAATAAGATGGCACATACAAAGCTCAATTGGCCAATAATGTATGGTAGAGGCACAAGAGAGGAGGCTGGCAAGGGTTGCTGTCTAGTTACCTGATGAGGTCCTGTTGCAAATGCTGTAAGTCATGAGCCAGTTTACTTTTATCTCCTTGTAAATTCTGGAATTGCACACAACATTAGGCTGTACATGTTACTCTAGTGAGAATTTACATTGAACAAGCCCACCTTGCAAGCTGTGACATTAATAATAATAATGACAAGTATACCTCTATAATGCTTCCATATTCTATGATGGTTGATTTAAGTTCTTCTATATATAAGCCTTTCTGAAAAGTAGGAGAGAAATAATAGCAAAAAAGTAATGGGTCCACCAAATCATATTTATTAGACTATTGATGTGAGCCACAAAAGAACTGTAAATGCCCAATCATCATGCAATTCTACCAATCTCACTATCGGAAAACTGAACCAGTCAGTGTCTGTGATTAAAAACACACAAGGATGGCTGGGCACGGTGGCTCACGCCTGTAATCCCAGCACTTTGGGAGGCTGAGGCGGGCAGATCACCTGAGACTGGGAGTTCAAGACAAGCCTGACCAACATGGAGAAACCCCATCTCTACTAAAATTAGCCAGGTGTGGTGGTGCATGCCTATAATCCCAGCTCCTAGGGAGGCTGAGGCAGGAGAATCACTTGAACCTGGGAGGTAGAGGTTGCAGTGAGCCAAGATAGCACCATTGCACTCTTGCTTTGGCAACAAGAGCAAAACTCTGTCTTAAAAAAAAAAAAAAAAAAAAAAAAAAAACCACACACAAGGACAAAAAGGCAGCAATATGTAGCTGATGTCAATATAATCTGTGTTTATCTGACCCAGTGGAATCAAAGTCTAAAAGGTGATTCCTAAGCCCAAATCATAATTATATTTATCATGATGTGTTTTATTTTATTTTATTTTTTGAGATGGAGTTTTACTCTTGTCGCCCAGGCTGGAGCAGAGTAGCACAATCTTGGCTCACCACAACCTCCGCTTCCCAGGTTCAAGCGATTCTCCTGCCTCAGCCTCCCAAGTAACTGGAATTACAGGCATGCACCACCACACCCAGCTAATTTTGTATTTTTAGTAGAGATGGGGTTTCCATGTTGGTCAGGCTGGACTTGAACTCCCAACCTCAGGTGATCAGCTCACTTTGGCCTCCCAAAGTACTGGGGTTACAGGCGTGAGCCACCGCGCCCAGCCCATGGTGTGTTTAAGAAAAAATCAGTCTTGCAAATGACTAATGAAATTAAGACATCCGATTTTTTCCAGTTCTAATGATACCTCTTCAAAATCATTGTTTTGTTTTACAAGACCAAAAGATACATATAGTGAGTACCTGACCTCTAATTTTATCCCGTGGCTAGCATGGTGGCTGGCACATGGCAGATGATCAATCAATACCTGATGAATGCTGGGCAGGAGTGCAGAATGGTGGGAAGACCAGAGTCATGGAGGAACTGAGTAGCCACTATTATCACAATATCATTACATAGAGAACACCCACAATGAAGAAATCAAGTTAGGACAATAGTCATATTCCAGTCAAAGTCTACAAGGTACATGTTTCCTTTGAAACTCCAAAATGTTCAGGGAAAAGAAGAGTGGCAAGTAGCATTCTTTCTTCACTTCCCTGTCATGGACTGTGGAAGATTATTGACTTAGGCTGTGTTCCTTCCCCTGTCTCTTAAGCTACTGTAACCAGCACCTTTGTAGCAAGTATCCTTGCCTACAATCGTAGGAAACAAGAATAAATAGAATAATATCTATCTATATAACTATCTAATCAATCAATTAAATTAGGTTTCAAACAATCTGGGTATCTATTCTTCTTCCACCCTAAAATGAATGGCTGCAGGCTCATTTATGTTGTTAGAAATTAAAACAATGTCACCGGTATCTAGCCAGTGACTGGTAGACTGGCTCACTAATATTTGTCACATATGTGGATGAACATCACCAGAATTTAGAGAAGGTATGTTCAAACTTATTTTTATAAAGTACTATAAAGGAAAGTCTCATGACATCATATTAGAATCCGATCTTTTAGACTGGGCATGGTGGCTCATGCCTGTAATCCCAGCACTTTGAGAGGCCAAGGTGAGTGGATCACCTGAGGTCAGGAGTTCAAGACTAGTCTGGCCAACATGGTGAAACCCTGTCTCTACTAAAAATACAAAAATTGGCTGGGTATGGTGATAAAACGCCTGTAATCCCAGCTACTCAGGAGGCTGAGGCAGGAGAATCACTTGAATCCAGGAGATAGAGGTTGCAGTGAGCCAAGATCACGCCACTACACTCCAGCCTGGGCAACAATGCAA